ATCTTTTCAGCTCAAAATCGTCGTTTTTGTTCGAATTTAGGAAGTTTTCTGACTGAAGTTTTTTTGTGAAATTCAACTTTGTCGTACAAAGTTGGTCTTCAGACAAGACAAGAGATGAGTCTATTTGAGCTTACGCTAGCGCTTGACTGGTGATGTCCTCGCATTCGGTGATGCCCTTGTGGAGCAGATGAATATAGTCGTGAGCGACGTTTTCCTTTTCAGTGCCTGTGATGCCATCGTGATGCTGGAACACTCCCAGAGCTTCCCGTAAAGTGTTCAGCTTGGCAGTGTCCTCATCAGAGGTGGCGTCCGTCAGGACGCTCAGTTGTTTGCAGACCTGGCATTGTTTCAGCTTGCTCTTTTGTCAGCAGGCTTAGCAAAATACTCACCTGCAGGAAATTGTTGCTGAACCTGTTGTAGCCTTTGCCGGTTGGCCTCGATGTAAAATAGCCCGACCAGTAGGTGTGGTCTGATGATCCGTATGGGAAGAAGTCGTCAGTCTTCAAGGGAACGTCCAAAACCCCATTGGTTGCTTCGTAGACAGCATTTAGGTAGCAGGAGGGCGTGGAGTAGATCACGTTGTACTTGACGCCCTCGATTTCCTTTCCGCTCATGTACCTTGCAAAGGGCAGAGGGAGTTAGCGGGGGGAAAACTGGGGACTGTGAAGTTACCTGATGAGTTTGTCGATATTGGCGAAGTTTTTGCCGGCAGCCTGATATTGGAAGTCGTCCCCCATCGGCACTAGAATGTTGTCGGAGGCGTAGCCGCTCCTGGCCGGAGTTATCCAGTCGCTAATGAAGTTCCTCACTTTGTTCTCCACGTTGTACTCGGGGCTCTCTGGATCGTCAATTATTGGCTCGTCCGCGCAGTTCACATCGAAGCAAAGCCCCGAAGGGGCGCTGTAGTGCCGGAACAGAACGTTGCTGTAAATATCGGTGGATTCTCCTGCGGGGATTTCACTTGTGAGTCACTCCCAAGCGGAAAGTGTAGCAGACAGACCGAGATTATCCGGGCTGCCTCGCCAGACGAACTCCATCTGCTTGTTGGTCCTTCGGATCTGCAGGTCTTGAGAGTCGATTCTGTTCAAGAAGAAGCCGTCGAAGCCGATTTGCGCAAAAATCGACGCCATCTCCCTGCTGTGCCCGAACGGGTCGATTTGCCACGCAACCCGTGGGCGGCCGCACTCTCCAAATGTGTCATTCAGTCGTCTGGAATGCCAATTCGCTTGGTTGGGTTAAAAACTGGGGGGAAAACTCTCCACCCACCTCAAGCCCCAAGTCATCTGGTCGATGGTGTCTTGATAGTAAGTGGTGGCTTCGTCGTTCATCGACCAGCCGCCGCTGATGAACTCCAACTGGCCATTGTTTACGAGCTGGCGAACATCGCTTCTCACGTCTTCTTCTTGGTTGGTCCACCATTTCCAGAAGTATCCAGTTTCCACGTAGATGAACCTGGGGATTCGGCTGGCGTGAGAATTGCTCCTTGTTGGGAACTTACTGTTGGGAACCTTCTGTCCTTGTTGCTCTTCAACGCATCGACCACACTGCTGATGATGTATTGGACGCCGGCTCGCTGCACGTTGTCGTGAGCTGCAAAGAGGTGCATTTAGTGCTCCAGTGATGCGTTTGGGACTTTCGAGCCTGGACACTTACAGCCATAGTAGTACTGCTCGAAGGTCTTTAGCCATCCCAAATCGTCGTGACTGTGGGGAACCAGATGGATGTTCACGTGGTCCTCTTTGACTGGATGGCAGGACTATGGAAGTTGTGGTGAATTAGCCAGAATGCGTGCAAACTTGTTCAAGGGCGGATACAGGGGGGGTCATGGGGGTCTTGACC